TCCTTCTCTCTCCTTCTCTCTCCTTCTCTCTCCTTCTCTCTCCTTCTCTCTCTCCTTCTCTCTCCTCTCCTCCCCTCTTTCCCCCTTCTCCCTCCCTTGCTCTCTCTTGAGGCCTCTCTCTTCTCTCGTTCCCTCCTCTGTCGCCCTCTTTTCTCCTTTTCCCGATTTTTTCGGTCTCCTTCTCTCTCCTTCTCTCTCCTCTTCTCTCCTCTCTCCTCTCTTCTCTCCTTTTCTCTCCTCTCTTCTCTCCTTCTCTCCTTTTCTCTCCTTCTTCCTTTCCCCCCTCTGCCCCGGATTAAAAAAAAAAAAAAGTATTCGCCTTCAAATTTCCGATCACTGGTTGATCACGATGACGACAACGACGACGACGACGACGACCGTTAGCATGCGGACGACGACGACGACCGGTAGCACACGAGACGGTAGTACGTGAATGTCTCGAAAACTCTTCAAGTATTCTGGTAGGTTTTCGAGCAGGCGCTGTCAATGTCTCTCTCCCTGTGTAAGTAATGTCTGATTCTGTTTCATCACCGAGGGGTCACTACCGGTCGTTCGATAATCGAGAATAAATTTCCTACAACTATTTTAACATCGTCTTTTTTTTTTTTTTTTTAATATTCTAAGCCGTGATACTGCATTGGCAAACTCAAGCGACAGAGTTCGAGGCCAATTCAAATCTCAAAACTTCAACAAAATCCCAAACTGAATCCTCATCTTCCACCTCTGATATTCTCTCTCTCTCTCTCTCTCTCTCTCTCTCTCTCTCTCTCTCTCTCTCTCTCTCTCTCTCTTTTGCTCGCTTGTCCCCCTTCTCTCGCGCACTACACCCATTCTTCTCCGCTCTGTTCCACCGCGGCTTCCACCTTTCTCTCTCTCTCTCTCTCTCTCTCTCTCTCTTCTCATGCAGTACCCTCGTTCTTCTTCTCTGTGTCCCGCTTCGCCTTCCGCCTTTGTCTCACCTTTCCCCTTTTCTATCTTCCTCCGATATCCTCCCTCCCCCACACCTCTACACGTTGTCGGCAGTATTTTTCCCCTCTAATCTTGGGCGCTGGATTAGTTTTTTTTGTTTTTTTTTTTTAAATAATTTTGGCGCCCGAATTGTATTCCACCACTTCGTTCCTTTGTCTTCTGAGGTGAACGAAGGCTTTTTTTTTTTTTTTTTGGCGTTTATCGTGTTCCTTTGTCTTCCGCATTTTTCTGAGCCACAGCTTATATCTATTTTGCCCTCCCCCTCTCTCTCTCTCTCATTGCCATTCCTTCCTCCCTCCCCCCCCCTCCCCCCCGTCCATCATGACTACCTCTAGTTTGATATCGTTGTCCACCTCGCTCTCCTCCTCCTCCTCCTCCTCCTCCTCCTCCTCCTCCTCCTGCTGTTTTCGGTTTATTACCCTTTTGCGCGCAGTAGTAACTTCGCTTCCGCAGCTTCCCGTTAATCTCCTCCTCCTCCTCCTCCTTGCTTCCTCTCTCCCCCTCCCCCTCCCCCTCCCCCCGCTTCCGCATGCCCATGCCGCGTGGCTGGATCCCCCCGTCAATCCCGACCGCCCGCGTACCCTCGCTATTTCCTCCTCCGCCGACTCGCAGAGCGAGATGTTCTACGATTGGGTAGGGAGGGTGGGGAACAAGCAGCTGCGTCAACACGGACCGGCGGTCCCGATCGCGACGTCGCCTCTGGATGCCGATAGCGCGGACGAGTCGGTCGGGGTCCAGACCGTCTCGCCGGGCGTCCGAATGAGAGCCAGGGAGTGGACCGGCTACCGCGCCGACGTGGTCGTCGCGCAAGACGGCACGGGATCCGCAAGATCCATTCAGGAAGCCGTTAATCGCGCGCCGATTGATGGGATCAACCGTTTTGTCGTATTCATAAAGGCGGGAGTGTACGAGGAGAAGGTCCACGTGGACGCGCCACGTGTCACGTTGATCGGCGAGGATCCGTCGACGACCGTCATCCAGTGGGGCGACACGGCGGCCATGACCGACCCCCTCACTCAGACCCGTATGGGCACTAATCGGACGGCGACCGTGGGGATCGACGGCGACCGGTTCTCCGCCCAAGACATCACGTTCAAGAACACGGCCCCGCGGCCCATGGTCACGGACGGCGGCCAAGCGGTCGCCTTGCGCTGCGGCGGCGACATGAGTGCTTTCTATAATTGTCGTTTTCTGGGCTACCAAGATACGCTCTACGTTGTGACTGGGCGGCAATATTTCAAAAGCTGCTATATTCAAGGCTCGGTGGATTTCATTTTCGGCAATGCAACGGTCATGTTCGTCGACTGCGACTTGTATGCTGACGTGGACGTCAACGGGGGGTATCTGACAGCGCAGAAAAGGGGGGTGCCACTGGAGCACACAGGATTTGTGTTCATCAGGAACAGAGTGAGCGGCAACGGGCAAGTGTACCTAGGGAGGGCATGGGGGAACGCATCGAGGGTAGTATTCGCGTATACATTAATGGATGACGTCATCGTTCCGTTAGGTTGGGACAGTTGGGACAAGGCGATCGGGATGATCTTTTATGGGGAGTACAGGTGCACGGGACCGGGGTCCGCTAGGGTACGTAGGGCTCCGTGGTCGGTGGAACTCACCGACGAACAGGTGGCACCGTTCCTGACCCTCGATTTCATCGACGGCTCTGAGTGGATTCAGGACACGGGTCTGTCCAGCCATTTGCTTGAGTTCAACACCTCGCTTACCGATCCTGCAAACCCTAATCCTGCCCCCTCTTCACAACCTTCTGCACCAGTTGCGTCTGCAACTCTTCCTCCTCCCCCTCCCCCTCCTCCGCCAACCCTTCCCCCACTGCCTACCGCACCTTCGTCATCTACAAGTGTCCAACAGACTTTGAGCACGACTCCACAAGCAACCGAAGGCACTCCTGCTGAGATCTCTCCGACCACGACCCCTCAACCCTCCCAAACAACCCCCCTTCCTCCTCCTCCTTCACCCCCTTCTTCCTCTACTGGTGTTCAACAGACCTTGAGTATGACAACACAAGCCACTGAAACAACTCCTCAGATTTCTCAAACAACTGCACAACCCTCCCAAACAACCCCCCTTCCTCCTCCTCCTCCTCCTTCACCCCCTTCTTCCTCTACTAGTGTTCAACAGACCTTGAGTATGACAACACAAACTTCAGAAACTACTCCTCAGTTTTCTCAAACGACTGCACAAGCCTTCCATACAACCCCCCTTTCTCCTCCCCCCCCTCCCTCCTCCACATCTGTTCAACAGAGCTTGAGCATGACAACTCAATCCTCTGTTTCAACCCCTCAGATCTCTTCAACAGTGGCAACAACCCCTCAACCCTCCCAAACTACCCCCCTTCCTCCTCCTCCTCCTCCTCCTCCTCCTCCTTCCTCTATAACTGGCCAACAGACTTTGAGCACGACTATACCAACCTCGGAAACAACTCCTCTGCCCTCTCAAACAATCCCCCTTCCTCCTTCTCCTCCTCCTCCTCCTCCTCCCCAACCTTATTCCTCTACAGCTGCTGTCCAACAGCCCTTGAGCACCGCTCCACCCTCCCAAACAGACGGAGCCACTCCTCAGGTCCCCCAAACAATCTCTCCACCCTCCCAACCCACCTCCCTCCCTCCTGTTCCATCGTTGACCACTACTTTGCCAGATGTCAATGTTACCTTAGATCCCGATACCTGGCGCTTAAGAGGTCGTCTCGGTGCGAGAGGGTAAGGCACATAATAGAAATCGACGTTAAGTGATTTCTGCTTTTCTCCCCCCCCCCCTCCCCCTCTTCCCCCCTATAATGACCGTACGTTGTATTCAGGGGAAGAAGGTAGTGTTTTTTTGTTGTTGTTTGCCCCGCCCCCCCTGATCGGCGCATGAAGCTGACGTCGTCCTGTTCGACCGAGGAGCATTGCATCACAACAGAGCGGGAAGAGGCATCAGATCAGAAGGAATCAATCAACGGGCTTGGTACCTACGACTCCCTCAATGGTCCTCGCTCCACTACTGACCACATGCATACAAGATAAAAAAATATGGCGGCGCATCTTTCCATGTTCTAGCGGAAGATTCATTCTCACTTTGTACATTTCGTAAAATAGTAGTGGAGCAAGGCCCAAGATACAACGTGAGAAACGCAGTGATGGTGAAATCATCTGGCTGGACCGCTACGTCCTGCAGGCACAGTGTATGCCTGCTTCTTCGCTGAGGAACTTCATCTTCTGCTCTTACTTTGTCTGAAACTCACACACACACACACACACACACACACACACACACACACACACACACACAGAGAGAGAGAGAGAGAGAGAGAGAGAGAGAGAGAGAGAGAGAGAGAGAGAGAGTNAGAGAGAGAGAGAGAGAGAGAGAGAGAGAGAGAGAGAGAGAGAGAGAGAGTCTTCTTCTGCTCTTGCTTTGTTCGAGCTCACTGAAGATGCTTCTCCACACACACACACACACAGAGAGAGAGAGAGAGAGAGAGAGAGAGAGAGAGAGAGAGAGAGAGAGAGAGAGAGAGTTTCTGGAGGCTTATTCCACGGAGGTCATAGATCATCGCATTCAAGGAGTTGATCGGACATGCCGCGTGTGAATCGATCGCGAATGGGATCCCGGCGCACACGGCGGCGAGACTTCAGCACGAGGACAATGGGACCCCGGCAGACGGCCGCGGGACTTCAGCTTCTCATTTTGCGCATTTGGTTTACGGTGCATCTTTCCATGTTCTAGCGGAAGATTCATTCTCAGTTTGCGCATTTGGTGAGAAGTGGAGCGAGGCCTGATGACCACACGAGGGGGGCTCGGACAGAAGACAAGTTATATCTTCAGCTAGACAATGAGGTTTAGGGCATACTCCCACTATAACTTTTTTTTTTACCCTTCTCTTTTGGAGGGAATTGCGACCAGGTACATCCAGGCGAGGTCGGTAAAGCGGTCATATACATCCAGGAAAGTGCCAGTGTGAGCATGCCCTTATGTGCAGCAGCGAGGAGCAAACTATTATCCTGGCAGATGTCAGCATGATGACTTTATACCGGGCGGTGGGTCGTAGTTCCAGTCATATTCCTGCAGGAAAGTCCCCGTGTATCGTCCTATGGATGTTGACCAGATTCATCTTCGAGAGCAGATTTGGAGGTGCGAAAGCGTATCTGGACTCTGGAGTGATTACTGACTGAGGTGTCAGATGGGCAAAGATTACCCCGTTCACAATTAACCCTACGATCTATGATGATGATGATGATTGGCACTGATGTGATCTATTTATTGGCAAAAAGTAGATTGAGGGGTCAGATTGAGATTCGATCTCATGATCTATAATAGGGAACAAGCAGATTGAGGTCTGAGATTAAGATCTCTGTGTGTACTTCAAGAGGCCGACGAGGAGAAGGCGATGGGCTCGACGAGGCCTTTGAAGGGTCATATAGTGAGATTCGAACTCATAATCTATTGGCAACAAGCAGATTGGAGGGTCAGATTTTGAGATTCGAACTCTTGATCTATGGGCAATAAGCAGATTGAAGAAGGGTCGTATTTTGAGATTCGAACTCATGATCTAGGGGCAATAAGCAGATTGAGGGGTCACATTTCGAGATTCGAACTCATGAGCGAACTCATGAGCTAGCAATTGAAGGGTCAGATTTGGAGATTCGAACTCATGATCTATGGGCAATAAGCAGATTGAAGGGTCGTATATTTGAGATTCGAACTCATGATCTAGGGGCAATAAGCGAATTGAGATTCGAACTCATGATCTATGGGCAACAATAAGCAGATTGAGGGGTCATATTTTGAGATTCGAACTCGTGATCTATGATGGGCAATAAGCCGATTTGAGGGGTCTAGATTGAGATTCGAACTGATGATCTATGATGGGCAACAAGCAGATTGAGGTGTCAGATTGAGGGGTCAGATTGAGGGGTCAGATCGAGGGGTCAGATTGAGGGGTCAGATTGAGAAGTGTGGGTACTTCCAGGGGCCGACGAGCTCAAGATTAGGCTCAAGGTGGTGGGGTCCCCTTTGAAGCAGATTTACAGTTCTGTTATATGTTATTCTGTAATGGGGTCATAAGACCCTTTTCCCCCCCCTCTTTTTGCCTTTTTCCCGGAAAGGGGGCTAATTCTTGGGAGTGGAAAGGGGGCCAATTCCCGGAGAGAGGGGGGAAAGGGGGCCAATTCCCAGAACGAGGGGGGGAAAGGGGGCCAATTCCCGGAAAGAGGGGGGAAAGGGTCATTTTGCCTTTACGAGGACAATTCTCTTCGCAGCAGGAGGGGTTCGAGCTCCCAACCGCGTTGAAAAAAGAGGAAAAAAAAAATAAAAAATCATAGTCTGGACTTTCGAAATGCCAAAAATAGAAAGGAGGAAAAGGCATGTCAGTGATGTATGATGGTGGGAACTGATCTATGAACAAAAATAGTAATAATTTAATAAAAAAGTAATAAATAAATAGAGTCGAGCTGGCGATGAACAGGAGGTCTGAGGGTGCACAGGAGAAGGAATTGGGAGGAAATGGGAGGAAATGGGAGGAACTGGGAGAGAGAGAGAGTAACCTCTCTCCAAAAGGATGACAGGTAATTGGGTGGCGTCTTGGACACACAGAGCGAGGAGGAGAAATATGAGAGCGGTCACGGAGACGGGTCCTCGGAGGCTTGGGTACGTACGAAACGACTCGAAAGGTTGATTGGTATACTCTCTCTCTCCCAGTTCCTCCCACACTGAGATGGTGTGTCTATATGCTATGGGCAGTATATTAGCTATAAGGTTATACTTACACAAACTAGGACTTCCGTCGTTCGACGTATCTGGCTGCAGCGGCAGGCCGGATTCAGACCACAAAGTCCCAGTGACTGAGAGTATATTAGTTACATGATGGTGGTTCTGAAGAGTGGACAGACACAGGGGGTAGATAGATAGATAGATAGATAGATAGAGAGAGAGAGAGAGGGGGGGGGGGGGAGTGCTCGGAGTTGGAGATCGTTTTTTTTTGGGGGGGGGGGACCACTTCCGCAGATGCCATGCTAATCTTCATTCTCTGTATCGTTCCAATTTTAACGGACGTCCCGAAGGACAGATTAAGAGCTGTCTCTTATACACATCTAGATGTGTATAAGAGACAGGTGTATGCCTGCTTCTTNGTTGTGTGCAATTCGTTGAGAATCAGTCCGTGGAAAGCTTTTTTTGTCCATTGTGAGGACAATATCAGTTGACGAAAGGGAAAACGTTGTTGTTTGATGATGACAGGCATGTATAGTATTTGCTGAATGAATCTGTCCTGATAGGCAGTCAGATACGTCAGGAAAGTGCCGGTGCCAGCATGAGTACAGTGCTCTTTGTTCTCGACAAAAAAAATTGGGGTTGGCTTTCTCTCCCTGCAGTTCTCTTGAACTCTGATCTCCAAAGGCAGATCGTTGCTGAGAGAGTAAAATGCCCCTTTCCATTCGTTTTGTTTTTGTTTTTTTGTTTTTTTTTGGGGGGGGAGGAAGGGGAGAGTGCCCCCCCTTGGGAGAGAGGGGTGCAGATTGAGGGGGCTTATACGAGGTTTTGTCACGACTTTTTGTGTGAGCGACTTGAGTCTGATGGCCAGCAGGCTTGGGTGTACCTCTCTTTCCTCTCTCCTTCTCTCTCTCTCTCTCTCTCTCTCTCTCTCTTGGGAGAAGCTATGAACTTCCACTTTTCTGGACTCCTTGTTTTCGAGGACCAACGCCCAGAAACACAAAATAGGGGTACTGGGGACCTTGTCCCAGGCTTAATGGTGCCCATTTTGAGGCTTAATGGGGCCCATTTTGGCCGCCTTTGTTACTTCATTTGCCTGTAATAAAAATCTAAGTATACGTTTTCGGTGCTTCCAGTTGTTGGCTTTTCTGCTGTTCGAGCTAGGGAAAGGTTTGATGCGCCGGAAATTGTGAGCTTGCCACCATCCGCCAAGACAGCTGAAAAGCGATTGCTCGTCTCTGTGGACTCTGTCTGATCAAGCAAAAGGAAGCTGCCACGTCCTCTCTGCCGAGAGATGACTCGCCTCCATCAACTTAACTAACTATGTATGTCATTGAGAGCTTGATGTCAGTCATCGTGGAGAGAAGTGGGGGGGTTTGTTTTGCGATAGCGAGATAGATAGATAGATAGATAGATAGATAGATAGATAGATAGATAGATAGATAGATAGATAGGCGGTCTAGAGAGCTAGTTGGATCGAGTAGATTGCCAAAAGCACCTCCCATTGGAGGCTCAGAGCATACTCACACTGCCATAGCACTTTGCTGAACGTATCTGATCGCAATTGCGCCCGTACTGGATGCATCTGACTGCAATCACGGAAGGAGGGTCGACTGCGAACATTCATGGATATACTTTTTAGCATGTCTGAACCTGGAGCAGAATGATGGCAAACGTTCATGCATATTTTTTAGCGTAGCGAGAGAGGGGGGGAGGAGATGAGCTGAAAGTCTGTCGCACTTAGGAGGGGCGATTATGCCACTGTGGCCAACCTTTTCACCACTCACGCCGGATGGGCCTGCAAGGAGCACTTCGAGGAGCACTTGGAGGAGCACACTTTGAGAGGAGCACACTTCGAGAGGAGCACACTTCGAGGAGCACTTCCGCTCTGGGGTCGCTCGTTCTTTGGGGTTCAAGTTGATGTCGTTGGAGAAAGACATTTCTAAGGGAGGTTCTCACCTCCACAGAGAGAGAGAGAGAGCTTTTGGGGATAATGGGAGGTGGCAGGCGGGGGGGCGGGCGGGGGGGAGGGAAGAGTCGACCTATTGGGTAGGCGCAAAGTTTTGGGGTGGCAGGTGGGGGGGCGGGGGGGGAGGGAAGAGTCGACCTAGTGGGTAGGCGCAAAGTTTTGGTGTTGGCTGCAGATGATGATGGAGTGAGTGACGCCTGGTTGGAGCAAGGAATATCACCAGAGGTTGTGACTGTCTTTCAGAAAGGTGAGAGAGGAGATGGGGTGGAATCATCGTCGGAATGTAGTCTATCGTGGTGGACAGATGCATGCTCTTCTGCCAACAGTGGCAGTCGAGATTTGGGTGAAGTGCGTGCCGATGAGTCCGGAGGTCCATCTTATTGGTTCCGTTTTATCGGCAGAATGAAAGAAGCACAAGTGCATGTGAGTGAGGTTGCAGTGTCTAGACTATTATGTGTGGCTGATGGAAAGCGATGCTGAACCGGGAATGCAATTCGGACTGTGTAACTGGGAACACGAGCTGGACTCTTGAGAGCTGCGAGTGCAAGCCGCCGGGCTGCTAAGTTGGTGGCCATGTATTGAAGCTTGAAAGAACAGATGTGTTTGTTTGTTGGGTGATAGGATTGCTCTGTCTGGGCCACAAGTCAATTGAAATGGATGACACTTTGGAGACGGACACGCCAAAAGAGCAGCTGCTGCAACGGCCGATGAGCTGGATATGCAAAATGCTGATTCGTGAAGGAACCAAGTAAGGTATGGAGGTGCTGATCCTACAGCTGGAAGTGCTATTGCTCTGCTTGCTGAAGGAAAATCTGGTGCTATGTTTGTGCTTGGAGAGCATGAACGTGGCCATTGTTACGGCCAGGTTCGTGCTTGGAAAGCATGAACCTGGCCATTGGTACAGCCAGGTTCGTTCTTGGAGAGCATGAACCTGGCCATTGTTACAGCCATTGTTACAGTCAGGTTCGTGCTATTTAGTATTCACCAAAGGCACGAACATGGCACCGGTGGGCCAGGTCCTCACTCTCCTGTTTAGTCACAGGGATAGATAGGTGCAGCATATAATACACAGCTTTCGACTTACACTACGTAAGCCGCAGAAGTGGCAGTGCAGTGTATGTACTCATTGGAGTCATCGCCATGTTTGCGGCTCTCTCTTTTTCTTTCTTTCTTTCTTTCTTTTTTTTTCCTTTTCGGTTCTTGAATTTCAAGAAGGTTGATGATGGTCTTGAGTCTTGAGGTGCTCCACCACAGCCGAGTGGCTTCGTTGCAGCTGCGTCTTAACTTCTGCTTAACTGTGCTCTCACACAATTCTCAGTCCTAGTTGGGTTTCGTTTGAAAGGGACGTTGGTTGTGAAGCGGGAGGCAAAGACTGCGTGAGGAGAATCTGATGCAGATCGATGACAAATAGTTCACGTTCTTTTTGTACGAGTATCCGATCAGTTTGCGAAGCGGGAGGCAAAGATTACGTGAGGAGATGCAGATCGATGACAAAGAGTTTCAACTTTCAAGTTCTTTTTGTATGAATATCGGATCAGTTGCGAAGCGGGAGGCAAAGATTGTGTGAGGAAAATCTGATGCAGATCGATGACAAAGAGTTCGCGAGGAGATGGAGATTGATGACAAAGAGTTCCAAGTTCTGTTTGTTATGAATATCCAATCAGTTTCCAAACGGTGTTGGTCGGGGGGTAGCAGATATGGTTAATGACAGGCGGCGGGGGGTGGGGGGGTAGGGGGGGGGCCCAATCTTATGTGGAAAAGCTTCAAAAAAGTTGGTTGCTGAGGGAGCGCAGCCATACAGAGACAATTAGCATGGCCCCCTGTTCTTCAAGGATAACCCACATAAATCAAGGAAGCTGCTTTTTTTTTTTTTTTTTTTTTTTTTTNTTTTTTTTTTTTTTTTTTTTTTTTTTTTTTTTTTTTTTTTTGAATGATGTGTTTTTTTTTGTACCCAGGTGCACATCCCATTCTCAGTCAACTTCGGATCGTCTCTTGTTCCCTCCTTTTTTCTTTTTTTTTTAAGAAAAAAGTTAGCCCCTGAGATTCTTGTATCGTATCCATTATTAGGTTTCAAACTCGCCATCTCTGTTATTAGCGACATTTACAGCAGCTGTGTAACTTTGATCAGGACTTTAACTCGTGATCTGTTAGGCACAGGGGGGCAGGCACACATCTCTTGCTTGTTCTCTCTTTTGTTAACCCCTCTCCCTTTTTTTGGGTGCAGAAGCCCTGGCCGGTTTTTGGAGAGTTCATTCCCGTTGACTGTTAACCATCCTATCTATCCGGATTCGAACCCATGATCTATTTATTTGCAACAATTACAGGTGTGTACCGTTCAGCCACAGGGCTGTGGCAGGCAGATCTCTTGTTGTACTCTCCTTGTTGTTGCTCTCTTTCCGGTTTTTTTTTTTTTTTTTTTTTTTTTTTTTTTAACCAGCAGTACGTTCCCCAGGCAATGTTCTTTTTTTGTCTCTTTTTTTTTTTTTTTTTTTTTTTTTTTTTTTAGGTTATTATTGTAAAGAAAACGACTCACTCACTGTATATAATGACAAAACAGTTACTTTTATTTTTTTTTATTTTATGTTTTTTTTTGTCCTACCACCAGGTAGATACTACTGGGGCCATGACCCAGCTTCGGCTTTGCTGGGAACCGGGTCCTACTCTCCTTGTTGTTGCTCTCTCTCCGTTCCTTTTTTTTTTTTTTTTTTTTTTTTTTTTTTTTTTTTTTTTTTTTCTTTGTTTCCTTTTTTTTTTTTTTTTTTTTTTTTTTTTTTTTTTTTTTTTTTGGTTGTTGTAATAAAGAAAACGACTCACTCACTGTATATAATGACAAAACAGTTACTAACCTTTTTTTTTTTTTTTTTTTTTTTTGTCCTACCTGGTATATACTACTGGGGCCATGACCCAGCTTCGGCTTTGCTGGGAACCGGGTCCAGCGTCCCAACAGATCAAGGAAATCTACAAAAGTCCTTCTCCGGCCAATGGCAAGGAAACCTGAACTGCCTACCTTCTTCCCCCGAATACAATGTAGCTGTATCTAGACTGAAAGATGCCTCAAATACAGCTATAATGACCTTACGTTGTATTCGGAGGAAGAAGGTAGATGGGTTTCCCACCACTCATCCTTTTAGATCCTCAATAAAAACCACCACCAATCAAACAGAGATCACCATGGATACAGTGCAAGCATGCTTTTCCTATTCACTCTGGTAGTGCTCCCACCACCGATGGTAGCTGCACTCACACTGCCTCCGTCATGCCGCTGCCCATAGTCTTCATAATGAGTGGATGGCAGAAGTTGTGTTTTCAAAAAAAGTTAAAAAAAACTTAAAAAAAAAGAGCTTTAACAAGTTAATAATAACCCACTAAAACTACAGCACCTCTATGCAGTCCCTAGGTTACCAAGCAAGTCTACACTTCAGCTCCCCGACGGTGCTAGGTGTGTCTGCTCATATCAGCACACCTAGCATCCGGTCGGGTTGTTYTTCAAAAAAAAAAAAAAAAAAAAGAAGACACCAAAACAAATATGCAACAGCTACGTAGTTTATACCCCCGAACGATAATTCCATAAACTAACTCTTCAGATCTTCCCCCCTAGTCCTTGCCGTGCTGTCCGACAAACTGCAAAGAGTCTGAGTTGCCATGATGGATTTGGTTATGGGTTTGGTTTCCCTCCACGCACCCTTGGATCTTTGTGAGTGGAGCGATCACAAGTTCGCAATGGGTACAACTAGAGTTTTGCTCTTCGCGGGCTCTCTCGTGGCCGCCTAACGGGCAGCGTTCCCACCGGCACCCGTTGTTACACACCCACTGCTCGTGGTAGCGCCACTGCCGATATCGTCTGGGACTCACCCTGATCCACACTGAAACTAATCCCCCACTTTTCTTTTTTTTTTTCTAACGGCTCCCCCACTCTTCATCTGGAAACCGCTGAGCAAAGACAGGCAGACACAACTAAGAAAATGGTTTGTTTGTTTTTTTTGAACGGCTCCCCCACTCTTCATTGGGAAACCGCTGAGCAAAGACAGGCAAATACAACTAAGGAAATGTCAGCGAGTAGTTCCTGCCTTCCTAACTGGCAAAAGAGATGTGTGCCTAGTGGAATAAGCACACTGAAGGGAACCGGGACATCTACTATTAGCCTTTTCACAGTCTAACCGACAAGGACGAATCTGACTTCGGTTATGACCAAGTACAGCTCGTATATAAACTAAATCTATAACCCCGGCACGCAGTGGCCACAAAACCACTCTACTGTCGGCAGATGAAAACAAAACTACTCGATTCTTCCGAAATACTACTAGCCAATGAATCCCTATAACTAGGTAGCTGCCGAAGAAGAAATCAATATAAATGAGCAACGAAGCGAAAG